CATCTTTGTGTTAGCTGGTGATGTAACTCGCTCTTGCTCTGCTGAATTTCCATCAGAATTAATCTTGCAAGAATTTCCGCACTTTCCAGACCACAAATAAAAGCAAACTGTAATTTTTCAGAGGATGTGTCTAAAATTTGGCGCCCCGTGAGGTGCTTCTTTCCAGAGATGAGTAATGTAACAGAAAAGTGTGATTTTAATTAAATTCAGCAGCTTTTGGTATGCTCTGATGGGTCTTGTTCTGCACAAGGAGAATTTATTCTATTCTGCTTTATATAAATGGATTTTGGGGGCATTAATGGGGTGGTTTTACCTCGCAGCACTTGACCAAAATCATTGCCTGGTGCTGCTCCTGTTTCACAGATGGGAACCAAATCTTGGAGAGCAGCTCCAGGTCACCTCTTTGCTGGTGCCTGGTCAGCTCACAGGCACCTCTTGGTAAATTAATGCTGCTTTAATCTGCCTAATTGCACGAAACCAACGAGGGAAGCATTTTCAGTGGTGTGTAAAAGTCTTGGAAAAAATGATTTTGTTGGGGCAGCTCCAGGAGTGCTCGGGGTGACAGGCCCAGGGTTCCAGAACTGACAGGGGGCACAGCCACAAAAATGGGGTGATCCCCAGTGCCTCGTCCTCCTGGAGAAAAAGAGGAGGAAAATAGAAAAGGGGAAGGTTGGAGCTACCAAAATCATGTACCGAGAACAACCAAAGTGTGAAATTCTGGGGTTGAAGCAGCATTAAACCTCAGCAGTGGGACAGAAGGACTTTTCTGGAAGCATGGGAGCTGTGGGGCTGAGAACCCCAGTCCCAAACTCCCATGGAAACACAGCCTGAAGCCTAAAATGTTGGTGAAATCAGTGTCCTGTGGGGTTTCTGTGCATTGCCATGATGCTTCCTTCAAAACAGGGGTGTCAGGGGCTCTGTACCCCCAGCCAGGGGAGCTGGAAGTCCTGCAGGGTGCAGTTTCAGCCTGTAGACTCCACACCATGGGAATATTTTTCTGCCAGGAGGATTCAGCACAGCCCTGGCCATCCCTGCAGGGCTGCAGGAGCTCTTCTGCAGCAGCTTGAGGCTCTGGTCCTCCCCATTAGTGAAGAAATGCCTCGCAGAAGGGACAGCAGATGGGAGCAGCTCAGGTTTCCCGGGTGTCACACACTCCACCTGCTCTTTAAAACACTCAAGTGTTATCCCTGGACTTAGGAAAACAGGGGGAAGATTATCCTGCTGGTGCTGGGAGGGTGGAATCCCCCTCCAGAAAGGGAGAAAATCACCTCCTTTACACTCCTCAGGGGGTTTGCACAAGTCAGGAAAACTTCCTTGCAGTTCTGCCTGACAAGCCATCTCCACTGAGAGCAGCCCCAGGTGGGAGCAGCTCCTTGGGATGGAGAGCCCTGAGTGGGACATTCCTCCCTCTGTGCTTCTCACCAGGCTTGCTGTTCCCAGGGCTGCTGTTTGACCCCAAGAAATCAGAGTGGAGAGTGGAAAAATGGTGAATAAACCACGCTGGGCGCTCCTTGCTCTGTCCCACTCGGATCTGAGGCCAAGGTGCTGCTGTACAAAATGATCAGACTGAAGCTGCCTCATCCCTGACCCTCTGCTCCCTGCAGAGCTGGCTTCACCTCTTCCAGCTAGGACAAGGCAGCCCAGATGCTGAAATACGCTCATAAATAAATAAATAAACCCCCCTGTTTATCGCTGTTAGAATTGCAGCCTACCTGGCTCTTCATGTTGAATAATTCAGAGGGAAGAGCAGCCAGGCAGTGCTGAGAGGTTCCCTGTGCAGGGGTGGAGGGTGAGGATGTGGTGTGGGAGGGATCATGGTGCAACCTGAGAGCAAGGGAGGGTTTTTCTTGCATGAGGTGCCTCGTGAAATATTAATAGATTGTCCTCGTGGGTGATGTGATGTGCTGTGGCTGGCTCTGCCTGTGTCCTGTTTGCAGGGAGCTCTGTGAGATCCAGAAATGGCCAAAATGTTTTGTAAGGTCAAGGGGGTGCTTTGCACCAACACGTGCTGTAAGTCCTGCCCTCCAGAGGAGCAGCTCACTCCAAACTCCAGAACAAATTGCTTGGTCTTGTCTTCCCTTTTCAGCCCTAAACAAACCCATCAGATCAATCCCACTTCCCTTCCCTCCTTTGATCTCTGGGAGTGATGCTGTGCACTGCTGTGGGGTTTGTCTGTGCAGGAGTCTACTTTGGGAGCTGCATTATCTCTTAAGAGCCTGTTCCAGCTCTGTTTGATGGCACTGGGGGCTTTTGCTTTTCATCTGAGCGGGGTGGGGCCCACAGCAGCCCCGGATGAATGGCTCAGCAGGTGGTTTTGCATGGTGGTGGAGGAAATAAAGCTAGTGCTTAGCTAAAGATATGAAATAAGAGACGTTTTCAAATGAATTTTAATAAACTGGGGTCTCTGCAGACCTGTTGGGTTTCAGTGGACTCAAAGTACTCAGTGCTGTTGGGCATTCCCAGCTCTGCTGTGCTCCTACGTAAGAAGTTGCAATGTGCCTGGAGGACTTTGGCAATTTCCCAGGGAATCCAGAGCTTTTATATCTTTTGACTGACAACATTTTTACTCATTTTACCAAAAAAGACGACCCAGGGATTGGTCCCAAACCAGGTGTTTGCTGCTGGGGAGCTCGTGGCTGGGGAAGGTGCAGCACCTTCACCTGCCTGGATGGAGATGCTGCTCCTGCATGGCTGGGGCCCAGGGCAGGATCTGTGGGAAGGTTCTCAGTGAAAACCCTGTGCTGGTGAGAAATAGTGCCTTAAAAGATCTCCCAGCTGGCTTTTCTTTGTGTTGCCTTGGTGGGGATCTGGTGGGGTGGGAGTGAGAGCAGAGTTCCTCTCACCCGCTCTGTCCCCACCACATCTAATCTGGTTTTGCAGCCAGCTCAGGTGTGTTCAGTGAGAAAAAAAGAACCTAAATGGATGTATAAGGGAGCTTAAGTCAAAAGTAGGGAGATATTTCAAATAGTGGATGTTGGTAGAGCTAAATTAAATTGTGTTGTTGCACTTAGAACTCCTGGGGAAGAGCAAGGGATGAAGAGAGGAAAAAGCCAAGGCTTTGTCCCAAAAGCTGCCCTTCAGCTCCAGAGTTTGGATGGTCCATTTAGTAATCCTCACCCTGGTGTGACTTCTCCCTCTAATTGCATTCTATGAGTCCTTATTTAGCCATTAGCTACCACTGCAGGGACACAGGTTATTAATTCCTCCCCTGCCCTGACTTTCACTCTGGGCCTTCACCAGCAGTCAAGGTGAAGCTGGGAGGGCCAGGGGAGCTGCATCCCCATGAAACTCTGATTAGAAAACATTTTTCTCCCTTTTCTGCTTCCTTGTCTTCCATGGGGGGTTGTATCACAGGAGCCAATTACACCTCAAGCCCAGATTTATGGCTGGGGATGTGTCCATGTGATTTTAATATTCTTTATGGCTCTTTTACTCCTTTCTCTCCAGCATGGCAAGCACTGGGGCAGGAAACACTCAGAGATTAAGAGCAGAATATGCATGTAAAAGAAAGGAGGTCGTGCCTTGTGGTGGATTTTTTTTTGCTGTTGTGACAAGTGATGTTTAAGCAGAAATCACCTCTGAGTTCTGCCTTCTTGCCAGAGCTTTGCAGCTCTTGCCTGGCTCCCTCCTGTGTTGCCACCTTGCAGGTGGACACACCTTGGGGGCTCCCTATGGCAGGGCAGGGCAGCTGGGATGGCTGGGATTGCTCCATGGCTGGGCTCAGCACAGCTCTGTCCCCTCCTGGGCTCAGCACTGTTTCAAACTGCTTGGTCTGGAGCTGCTCCTCTAAAATGATGTACTGAGAACAACCAAAGGCTGAAATTTTGGGATTGAAGCAGCATTAAACCTCAGCAGTGGGACAGAAGGACTTTTCTGGAAGCATGGGAGCTGTGGGACTAAGAGCCTAAGGAAGGCTGAGGTGTAGCGGGGGAGAGAAGGCAAATTAATGCCAGTGAAAGGATCCAAAAATAGCAAATTCGGGGGCTAACCAGGCCATGGATTAAATCTTTCAGGAGAGGCAATCTATCATGGGCAGGGAGGGAAGAGGAGGACATTGCTCTTGAGGGCAGTTAGAGGTTCAGATGTGGCCAGCTTTGCTCCTCCACCGTGTCCCATGCCCGTGGCTCACTGCCTTCTCCAGGATGCCCAGCAGGGATGGGCAGAGCTGCCACCCCTCTGTGTCCCTGTGCTGTCCCTGTGCAAGGCTGGCTGTGCCCATGGGGATGCTCCAGCCCCAGCAGCCACAGCCCAGCCTGGCCCTGTGCCAGCAATAATACGTGGGCTTTAATTAAAACAGTATTTTTCATCTCCCTCATACGTTATTTGGTTATTGCTTCAGAATGAGCCAAGGAATTCTTGTATTCCCCCCCACTCCCTCCCTCACTCCTTTAATCTGCTTTCTCCCCTCCTTTCTTTCTGCCCTTTTGGTGTCCTTTCCCTCATCTCCAGGAGTTTTAACTTTTTTCAGCTGTCACAAAGTTGTTAAGATGAGGAGGCCTGGGGTTCATGAGGACTCAGTGATTCCACTGGGATTGCTGGAAGGTGCTTCCAGGGAAGCAGTACAGAGCCTGGCCGAGCAGGGAAGGAGCTCACAGGTGGAAAGGCTGGAGGAGAAGGTGTTTCTCCATCCCAACAAATCCAACACCAGGCTGGAATTATTAAGATTCCTGAGCTTTTTGTGCAGCACCAGCTCAGCAGGAAGGGCTCAGCCGTGGGGGCTCTGAGGTGCTGTGCTGTCTGACCATGCAGCTGCTCATTTTGGTGCCCAAGTGCTGCCCTGTGTGCCCAGCCAGCCTCCCCACCTGCATTCCTGCCCTGCCCTGCCAGCTGTGCCCTCGGGAAGCAGCAGAGCTGGTGTCACCCTGGGACAAAAATGGCTTTGCAGCGAATGTTTTGTGCTGCTCAGCAGGATGCTCAGGGCTGGGCTGAGTTCAGGAGCTCTGCTCTGAGGGGTGAGGCACCAATATAAAATATAACCCTGTCATTCCTTCCCTTGCCAGGCCCTTCCCTTCGGAGGAGACCACGGAGAATGACGATGACGTGTACCGGAGCTTGGAGGAGCTGGCAGAGTGAGTGGCCTCACCTTCTCCTGGGAGGGCTGAGGGAAAAGTTGCCGTGGGTTTCTACCAAAAAAAAGGCAGATAAAGTTTGACAGCAGGGTTGGGAGAGCCAGGACGGCTGCTTTGATCCTTTGGCCAGGGGATTTTTGTGCTCTGACAAAAGTCCATCTTTTTCTGGTGCAGAGCCCTGGGAGGTGTCACTTTTAATCAGTCAGAGTTGATGAGTGGCATGGTGGGGGGTGAAAGGGGCCAAGCCCAGGGGGTCCCCAACTCCTCCTAAATCCCAAAACCCTGGCACTTAATTCATCCTCTGAGGTGATCCAAGCCAGCTCTGGGGGTGAGGTACTCATCTCCCCCCATGGCATTTTTTGGGTGCTGGCACATGGAGAGCTGCACCCCCGTGTGTGATTTTGGACCCCACCAGCTGGCCTGGGTTAATTAGAGAATAGTTTGGGTTGAAAAGGACCTTGAAGACCATTTCATTCCACCCCTTTGCAAGGGGCAGGGACACTTCTCACTATTCCAAGTGGCTCCAAGCCCCATCCAGGCTGGCCTTGGACACTTCCAGGGCTGTGGCATGACATCCTACCATGACACCCGTCCTGCTTGTCCTTGCTGGGACGTGGGGTGATGTCTCTGTCTGTGTTTATCTGGTTTTTCTGCCTGTGGTGATGATGTAACAGGCTTTTAAAATCAACCTTGAACTGCAGCACACACGGGGAAGTGCAGGCACTATTGGAATTCAATGGCAGCATTCCCATCAAGCCAGGGTTTTGCTTATGAAGTGCAGTCATATGGAGGGATGGAGTGCATGGGTGGATATGTGGCTTTATGCAGTTAAATATTATTGTTCCACAACATAAATAATAAGACTCCTTAATCCAATGAGTTCCTTATGGCTTCAGTTATTACAAAAGTAAATCATAAATTACCAGCAGAGGGAATGGAGTGCCCTGGAATTCCCTGCTTGCTGTTGGCTCCCAGCAGCTGCAGTTTAATAAAATTTTAACCAAGAAAGGGATCCTTTCAAGAATAGCATTTTTTGTGCCCCCTCTCCAAAAGTTCTCAAAATCCCTTTAATATTTGGGTTTAAAATTCCTGTTTCTCACACACAGAGATGCTTTTAATTGTAGAGAGATTTGTGTGGGGACTCTCACACGAATGCTGATGGGGATGGCAGTGCTGGCTTAGAAAGAGCAGGTTTGGGGTGCTGCCCTTGGTTATTTGGTGCTGGAAATGGGTTCCCAGCTTTATTGCTTATTTGGTGCTGGAAGTGGGTTCCCAGACTGGTTCCCTTGCCCCCTGGTGACAAGGTGTCCAGGTGGAAGCTTCCCAAATTGTTCTTTGTCTCTTGGTCAGAGGGGCTGTGGTGCCCATCAGATAACTTGGAGGTTTATTTCAACTGATTTCCCTGTTCCGTCCCAGATCTCCAAATTTAACTTTCCCTGTTTTGCCATTCTCTGCAAAATCCTCTTTTTAATATCTTATGTCGGACTCATGGGGGACAGGCATGTTGAAATCAGCAGGGATTGCACAAATTCCTTCATCCAGGCCTGCCCTGCCACTGCACAGGAACACGGCCTACAAAACAGTGTCAGAATTCACCCATAACTGGAAAAACCCCCAAAACTCCCTGGAGAACCCCTCAGTCTGAGTTCTGCTGCTCCTGCTGCCTGCAGCAGAGTGTCCTTTCTCCCCTGGAGCAATTCCTCTGGTTGGGAATGTGCCAGTCCCAGTGTGTGCCCAGGCCCCACAGCCTGTGGCACTGATGAGAAACCTCCTTTTTCTCAGCTCCTGCCCTCTCCAAACAGCTCAACAAGGGCAGCATTCACTGCTGGGAGTGATTCAGTCCATCCAGCATCTCTGCCTTTAATGCTGCTGATGATCCAGCAGCCTTGGGAAGATGTGGCTGCAGCCAAAACGCTTTTTTTTGGAGGCGAGGAAGTGATTTCCACAGCAGGCAGGGAAATGACCCAATGTGGGGAGGGAGCTGCTCCAGCCCTGCCTCTAAAACCAGCAAGGATTTGTCACCTCAAGGTGCTGCTCTGCTGTCCCCACAGGCCTCAGAGGGACAAGGGTGGATGAGGAAGGACAGCCCTGGTGGGCTCTGTGCCACCAACTCACCCTGGGAGAGAGGAATCCCCCAAAGGGAGCTCTCTTTGGGAAAAATGCTCAGGAGAAACTCTGAGTTGGTTCGTACAAGATATTTTGGGGGCTGGACAATGAGGTTTTTTTTGGAGAGTGCCAGAATGCTTTGTTTCAACTGTAAGTTTGGTGGAGTAGTTTGGTGTCCCCAGGTTGAGGTTTTGAATTCCTAAATTCCATTTAAAGGCTGCAGAGCCTTGGGAATATGAACATGTTTGTGATGGAGGTGCTGATCTGGGGAGCAGAAGGAACCAGGCTTTGTCCCTGTTGTCCCCATGATGCTCTAAAGAGTGGGAACCTTTCTCCTGAGAGCTCTCCCAGCAGGGAGGAGCTGTGGGACAAAAACCAGGGCTGGACAGGGGACACAGGAACAAGCTCTGTGTGAAATCATGGGCCAGCCACGGGGTTCTGCTGTGTTTAAAGGATGTTTAAGCCTTGGTGACCTCATTGTGCTTTCACCTTTGGGGTGGTGAAGGGATTAATCCCAGCTCCAGACAGATTCCCCAGCCAGGCAGATCAAGGCACATAATTGCCTGGAAACAGCTATTTAGTTAAAAAAAAACCCCAACAATTGGTGATGGAAAGGGGAAGGGAAGCTAAAAGGCTATCAGGGGAGCTGGGAAGTTCTCAAATTCCCTGTTTTCAGCCCTCTGGCCCCTCGGTTTGCTGTGCCCTGGGCCAGATGGCAGCTTGCAGCCAGCCTGGGCAGATGGCAGGGGCTGCTTGCATTGCAAGTGCTGCCTGATCGATGCTGTGGGGAGCTGTAAAGGGACAATTGGCCTCTGCTGCCTGATTTATTCCATCCTGCCCCATGCCAGACCCTGGAGCAGCCATTTGTGGGGAGTTTGTCCATGAAATGAGCTGGGTTTTGCAGCAGCAGCAGCAGCAGTGTGTGGGTTCATCCTCTGGAGGCTGTGCCTCCTTATCAGGGATTATCAGTGACCCTTGTCCTGAGGATGCTCCTGCAGATCCCTAGGGAGGGGAGCTGCTGCTTCCCACATGGCTGTGGCTGCTGGGAGCTATGTCAGGAGGCAATTATCCACCTTACTGCCCTGCCAACTGCTTTTCCATCCCCCTTTATGGCTCTTTCAGCTGCTCCAAACCATCCTGGTACCTCAGAGTTACACTTAACATTTCACCTAAATTTTCTCCGCTGCCACTTGAGCTCTCTCCAGTTATTTGGTCTCATTAAATTTATGGCAGTGATTAATCCTGGCCCTCTTTACAGCCCCAGAGTCTTCTCTGTGATGAACCTTCTCCACTTCATGGCACTGTCCCTCTGCAGTGACACGATTAGGTAGATGACACGGGGCAGATTTTGGGTTCTTTGTTGGCTGCTTGAAGAATTCAGAGTCAGGAAGAAGTTCCGTGAATGGTTTGATGTGAAACATTCAATTTGCATAACTTTTACCTTTGTTTTCTCTTCTGAAGATGATTTGATTTGAGGAGAGGAGTTGTAGTGTTGCATAAAGGACCAAGTAAGTGTTTTAGGCAAAGCAGGTCCCAACCAATCCCTACCCCTGGAGAGCTTTGTTGATGTTGATATCCCCTGCTCTTGTTTGGAGCTGCAGCTCACTGGGAATTTATCCCCAACAAATTTATTGGGGTAATTGTGTATTCCCAACCTTTCCATCCTAAAGAAGGAGGGAAGGAGATCTGCTAGGTACAATTTCTCAAGTGATGGCTCTTCTGGACTCAGCTGCTTGCTGAAGTTTCTCCTGCTTCTCTCACTACTGTCACCAGCATTGCCCCCCTCACATCTTCCAAAATAGTGCTGTGATCAGCAGAATTTCTCAAATGCATTAAAAAAAGTAACGAGCACAGGAGCCAAGGTGAGATGATAAGTGAGCTGCCACTTTTCCCATTATTTTTATGTTGGACAAACCAGGCACAACAGCCCCTCAAATAAATGGCTCTGTGGTGCAGGGCACTTGAGCCAGAGTGCCTGTAAATGTGTCTGTCCCTTGTGTGTCACTCCTATTGATTTTTACATGTCCTGCTTGTGCCATTTCTAGGATCATATTGGTCACTGTGGCTGTTTGAGGCTTTTTCTTGGGATCAGAATGTTCCACTTGGAGTGGGGAATGTAAGACCCGAGCAGAATAGATGGGAAAAAGCTTCTGCTGTTTCCAGATGAGTGTCTCCATCCAAGTCCAGTCTGAGTAATTAAAACCCTGCAAGATCTCGAGTCCTCCAGCTGCACATCTTGCACTCCCTCACCCTGAAACCTAAACCTGCCAGATGTTGCTGCAAATTTAGGGTTCTGCTTGTCCTCTCTGACAGAATGAGGGGGTTGGTTGGAGGAGCTGTGTATTTATAGCCTTGAGTGCAGAGTGAGGATGAGAAACTGGGGATTACTGGGATGGACTGGAGCCTCACAGCAGCCTCAGAGACCCTGCAAATCTCCCAGCCTGGACCTGTGGTGGCTCTGAGATCTTCTGGCTCTTAACCCTGGTCACAGGACTGGAGATTTGGGGTTGTCACTTGGTTGTCTTATTTTAGCTCCTTCTGTCCCCTCCTGCTCTTTGTTTTGCTGTTCCTGGTGCTTCTGGCTCTTTCCTCAGCGTGGTTTGGACAGAGTTTTGGTGTGGTGGGTTTGTCATGAGGGTTTGTCCTTGAATTCTTGAGTCTGCTACAAACTCATCAACTTCCCACAGCAGCTTTTGTGGCTGGAGAGGCTCTTCAGTGGCCCTGAAATCCCTCAGAGCTTCCCCAGTTACCCCCATTGTCACTGCAACGATGAGTGCAGGGTTCCTTCAGCGTGGTGGACCCTGCATGTCATTTATTGGGGCATCACAGCCTGTCTGTGCCCGTGGTCCCTTCCAGCCCCAAACATTCTGTGATTCTATGGATTTGTCCTTCCCTTTCCCTCACTCCTGGCATCAGTGCCTCAGTTCTGGGAGCTGCTCCCTGGCACGGCTGCTGCCTGACCGGGTGGGCGTTAGTGCACAGCAGGCACTGCCAGTGAGGCAGAGCTCAGCCAAAAGCATTGTTTTTGCCTGAAATTGCCTTAGATATGAAAAGCTTTATTCATTATCAGCTTTTCTGGCTCGGCAAGAGGCTGCCAGCCCAAAGCTGGTTGGATCCTTCCTAATAACAGTAATTGCAAACGCTGGCGTTCCCTCTGAAGGGTGGCTGAAATCCCTTTCCTAACGCCAGAGCTGTCAATGAATCTCCTAATCCAGGCAGTAGATCACAAGCTCTGATACCCACGGGTAACTCGCAGACTCTGCTGCTTTTATTGAAGGAATAAATTGCTTTTCTTTGTGAGGAATGAGGTGATCTGGCTTTCCTTGCTCAAGTTGTTCCGTCTGCCCGTGACACGCCTGGGATGCTGAATTTATTGCCTGAATTCAGTGTGTCCTGAGCTTTCCACTGGCTAAAATCATCCCAATCCCTGTTTTAAGGACAGGGAGGGTGTGTATTTTCAACTCTGAGAGGCACAGGTGAGGATCAATATGTGCAAAGCAGAGATGTCAACATCCATACGAGCCTTGCAGGAGCTTGGCTGCTCCTGGGCTGCTCCAGGAGAGGCTGATCCTCGTGCTTTGCTGCTCTCCATAAAAACTGGCAGCCTCTGGTGTTTCTCAGAGATGCACTGAGAATGTGTTTTAATAAATAACAGACTGCTGGACCATGGTGATGTTGTGATACTGCCACGGCTGTTGGGTTTGAGGAACTCTGCTGCACTCCCTAGAGCTCTGGAGTGGAGGTGTCTTTCTAGGTGTCCCCAGGATGTAGGAATAGTTCATATTTTTTCCCCAAAACCAAAAATAGGAGTAGAGAAGAGCTTGTCCTGCTGTGGAGCACCAGGAAGGGCTGGAGCAGCAAGGCTCATCCCCTTCATTAGAGGAATGGAGCTGTGAGGTGCTGTCAGGATGTGGCCCCACATGGTGGGGTGGTTTGTGTCCAAGGGCTGTTGGCACTTCTGTGGGCAAATCTGATGAATTGTCCCTTGGGAAGCGTTTCTTTCCTGGTGGGAAAGGCTTTGGGGCATCCACCCTTCTCCAGTCTCAGCCCATGACTGAGCAAAACCCCTCTGGCACCTGGGGAGGTGGCTGAGGGGTGGTAGTGCTGGGTTCAGGTTGAACCAGATGTTCTTGAAGGGTTCTTCCAATCCCTGATGATTCTGTGAAAGCCCCTTCAGCACCACATGCTGTCACCTGGGTTTCTCCCAGTGTGTGCCCACCATGCTCCAGAGCTCGTGGCTTCTTGGGGATGGAGGAGAGTTTGTCCAGGCTAGGAACAGCAGCTTTTATATTTTTCAGATTCTGTGCTGCTTTGGTGTGTAATTCTGAGCTTCATATTAGGGGATGGTGAGCTCTCTGCACAGAGCAGGGAGGCAAAACAATTCCTGCTCCAGCTGGGGACCAAGGACAAATGATCCAAATCTCAGCCCCGAGAGCACAAACAACATGGGCTGGAGAGAGAAAAACAAGCAGGATGGGACTGCATGGGCTGAAGCTGGAATTGGACAATGAACTGCAATCTGCAAATGGAGCAGAACTGATAAAAGTGAGAGACCCCATGACCAGTTGAGCATTTTGTGACCATTTTGGTTCATCTTGGGCGTAGCCCTGGCTGGGCTCTTGTGCTGCCCAAGCTGAATCCATTGAGGCCTTTAATATATCCCTGTTTTATTCTTTAACTCTGTCCAGCCTGTGTTCTAGCTCAGCCTTCCCAAGGCATCAGTTCCTCACCCAGCTGAGCTCATGCCCATGCCATTAACCCAACCACACATTCCCAAAAACCCTCCAGCCATGGAAATGATGTATGGAGAGACAGCCAGCAAGCTGAGAGGTGTGGGCAGGGAGATTCATCAGGAGCTGGGAGTGACTGGCTGTGGAAGAGGAGCAGAGCTGAGAATATAAATATTGGTGCAGATAATAACGGCGACGCCTGGGAGGGGGAAGATGGATCACCAGCTATTAGTGGGCATTATTGCAGCAGCTGCAATGCATCACCCGGGAAGAATGGGATGGATACATCATGCCAGTGCATTTATTTAAAATCCCCAAACTTTTATTGAATAAATCTGTTTGTATAAATAGAAAGGGCCGTATTTAAGCAGCCTGGTTTTGCAGGCAGATGTGCTCTGCTGCTCAGTGATATGTAATAGAGAGATGTTGAGTGTCACACTTGGAGCACAGCTTTACACCTAAATTTATTTGTGTGTAATTAATACCCCTGTTGAAAGACACAGCTCGTAAAATATGCGAACGCTGTTTGATATTCCAGCATTTCACACTGTCCTGATCCTGTGGGATTGACTTCAGTGGGGGCTGTTAGCTGCCAGCACCTGTAGATCTAAGCACTGGAATTATTATTGTTAATTGGTATTTAATATGGGCTGAATTTTTCAAAAGTATTCCAAGGTTGAGGAGCCCCTGGGAGGGTGTGGAGGCTCAGATGATAATTAATTACTGAACACCATCACCTTTAGCACAAACTGGGCTCTGCAGCTCTGGGATGCCTTTGAAGCCTGGGAATGCAGGGGCAGCTCCAAAGTGGTGGGGCTGGTCCTCAAAATGTGACGTTTTGCTGCTTAATTTCTCCCTGCTGTAAGTGCTGTTATTGGCCTCTGCCCACCGAGCTGAGTGTCTGATGAGACTGCCTTGTGGTGGTCAGGAGAGCCTCCTGCTCCTCTGGGAAGTGCTTGATTAAGAATCACCCCTCAGGGCAGGGATTGGGCTTTGTAGGAGTTGGGGCATCACTCAGAAATGGGCTGCAGAGCGTTTAAACCTGGATGGAATGCCCAGGGCTGGTCCAGGCGTTGCTGTGTGTCCTGCACAGCCCAGGGTTGGCTCATCAGGGCTGGGGTGCTTCTCCTACTGCTCAGAGACATTGGATGACTGTTTAATATCTGCTCCTGCTTGGAGTGGATCTGGGCTCCTACAGCAGTTTGCAGCCCTGGCTGGGGGATGGGGATGGCTTTTTGGCACAAAGGAAACTTTTCAGTGAGGAAAAGCAAAATCAGATCAAGAGCGAACGCAGAGCCTTAAGCAGACCAAAATCCAGCCCTTAAAGTGAATTGTCTGAGCATGATATAAAGTCACTGAGGCAAGAGCTGCTCCTGGTCCTGAAGAGGAGCTGAAGGGAGGTTGTGGGCACCTTTGGAGCAGGTGGAGCTGGAGCTGGTGGCTCTGGTGGCTCAGATGGCCCCTCTGGGTGCTGGCAGAGCCATCTCAGCTGGGCCCATTAGTGCTCAGCAAAAGCTCTGCAGGGGCAGAGCTGGCAGCCCGTGGTGCTGTGGGCATCTTGGGCATGCCTGGCACAGGGCACAGAGCCTGGCACAGGTCAGTGTTTAAATTTTGGCTGTGATCCCCGCTCGTGTCGAGCAGCGTTCCGCCTTTTCCAGCCTCCAGCCAGCGGAAAGAAATGTGCAGCGGGCACTGATCCGGGAAAAACAGAGAGCAGGGGCTGAATTCTCGTCTCTTCCTGGGATTCTCCTCCCTCCTCGGTGCCTGATGAAGTGCCAGTGAGCATCCCCTGGGTGTTATCCCTGACTCCTTCTCCTTCTCGTTGCAGCGAACACGATCTGGGCGAGGACATCTACGACTGCGTCCCCTGCGAGGATGAGGGCGATGATATCTACGAGGATATCATCAGAGTGGAGGTTCAGCAGCCCATGGTAACAACCCAGCTGTGTTTTCACAGCCACACCTCGCTGGCAGGGGGAGGGAGGGGGTTCCAGGAAGGAAAGGACTCCGTGCCACTGGCAGGTGATGCTGCAGGGAAGGGAATCGCTCTGAGTCGCTCCTCCAAACTGGGATGGCACCAGCCCACAGAGGTTCTCCGAGGAGTTTCCCTGCCCAGCCTGTCATCTGCAGGAGCTGGGGAGGAGGAAGGGAAAGGGAGACCTAATAAGCCCTAAAAGATAAGCTAAAAATAGGATTTTGCTGCTGCTGAGGCTGTGTCACTCCAGCCTTTCTGGGGAGGCTCCGCCTGCTCCGTCAGCCAGAGGTGCCACTGGTATTTTTAGTTCAGGGTGACAGATCTGTGTGTCAGGGATCCAGCAGCTGTCTGTGCCTGCTGCTCCTACCTGGAGCAGGAAGATGTTTACAGTGGAGCTTTCTGAGGTAGCAGGGACCAGTGTGGCATTAGGGACAAGTAGCTGTCCCATTTATCACCTCTAACAAGCTTTTGCTGCTGGAGAAGCCTGAGTGTGAGGCATGGACAGCATCATGGAGGGACTTGTGATATCTCCAAGGGCTCTGGAGCAAATATCACAATCCATGGATGAGCCCAGGAGGTGTTGGTGGCCCTTGCACCTCCCCAAAGTGCCCACAGCCACCTCCCTACCTATGTCCCAGAGCGTGACCTTCCAAATTTCCTCCCCCCCCAGTCCAATATCTGCTTCCCCCAGGCTTTGTTCATCCACTAATTACTCTCCCCTAGTTCCCCCCTCCCTGGAACAAAGCAGGATCAATGGACAAGCTCAGTGATCAATTCAACCCCTGGAGCAGCATGAGGAGCTGGAGCCTGGGAATGCAGGGCTGCATCCATGGATGCCTGTGCCCTGGTTCCTCAAAGATCATAAACCCCTCATTCCATCCCTTCACACCTTGGCTGCAGCTGGAGGAGCTCCCTGCACACCAAAACCCCCCTGGATCAGGGAATTGGGCCCAAAATATTCCCCCTGATCCTGCCAAAGTGCTTGGTTCTGAAGGCAGCACAGCTCGTTGCTCTCCAGTGGTTTTTGCCACCAGTTGCAGAAGCCTCTTGGCCCAAGAACTGCCCCAGGGGAAGGTTTTGGTAGGAATATCTTGCCTAAAAGGGAAAAATGGGGGAAAACTCCAGCAGCCAGGTAATAGAGGATTAAGGTCAGTGGAACTGGCAATTTGTCACTGTCCCCTCCACATTATTTTGTGTTTTCTGCTGAGCAGTGTTGGAGTTGAGAGCTGTGACTCCCTTTCACTTCCCTGAGGAAAAGAACCTATTTTTAATATATCTGCCCAAAAAATTGAACTTTTAGGGTAACATTTGTTGCAACAGCAAGTGTGTGATGCTAATGGCTTCTTGTATTTCTGCATGCTTCAGATTAGATACATGCAGGTAAGATGAATTGATTAAAATCTGGGGTTTCATCCAGCTGAAAGGTCCCAGCTGTGAGTTCTGAGGGGGTGGACAGAGGGGCTCTGTTCCTGTGCATGATCCATAAAACCCCATCACTGAATTCCCTCCCAAATTCAGATTCTGCCCTGCCAAGTGCAGCAGCTCCCAACACGTGGTCCCAGCTTTACAGAGCAGAAGTGACTCCACGAGCTGGGGCTTTGGGAAAAGCACATTTTATGAGATTTGACCTAAAATCAGGAGAACTGGCAACCCTGGCCAGGGATTTGTATGAGTCTGATGTATTATTTGTGACCCACTTAGTATCTGTTGTGAGTTTCATCTTAAGCAATAGAAAAACAGTTTAAAAAGGGGGAAAAAATCAGCCTTTATCTCTTATTATTCTTCTTTAGCTGATAGTCTGTGGTGGTGTGGCTGTAATAAATGCAAAAAATGCATTTTTTTCCATGTTGAAACATATTTAATAACACAGCCAGGGTTCCTCCTTATATTTTTTGGATAAAAATGGTTCCCTTTAGCATAAACCAGTAGCGGTTCTCTCCTGACTTTCCAAACTTGTGCTTGGTTGCTGTAACTGGACCACCCTTAGGACCATCTGACCATGCCTTATTTTTCCTTTCCCTAGAAAATGGGAATGACAGAAGATGACAAAAGAAATTGCTGTTTGCTAGAAATCCAAGAAACTGAGGCCAAATACTACAAAACCCTTGAAGATATAGAAAAGGTGAGAACTGAGCCCTGCTTTCCCCAGCAGCCCTGGATCCCACGTGAGTTGGGCTGGGTTGGTTCTTGCTCCCAAAGCTGGGAGATGTGAGGGGCAGGATGGAGGAAAATGGGAGAGGAGGGGGATCCACAAAACCCTGACAAGCAGCAACGTGCAGGAGCCAAAAGCAGCATTTTTTTTTTTGGTGATTGCTGCAGATTAGAAGCAGGCTGAAAAGCCTCCTGCTGTGTCCCCCCTCTCCTGGGGTGAGAATCTCCCACTCCTGGCTCAGCCAGGCCGGGTTTGCTGATAAGAGCTGTGTTTGCAGATATCTCTTATCACTCTGATTGCCACGGAATAATTCCTTTATTCCGAGTGCTGAAGCTGTGCTGACTTGCCATTGAAGCTAATTGGATTAAAAGGAACGTTGTGCTGCCTAAATTTGTGGGGGTTTTAATTGGTTTTGATGAATTATTGTGGCTCCTTTCTTTCAAAAACAAATAAAAGGATAACACCTCAGCAATGGATGGAGCCTGGAGGTGGTTCCTGCTCTCAGGAAAGCAGCAGGAAGGAAGAACAAGAATGAAAATCAAGCTGCCATTTCTAATCACCCTGATGCTTTTGTTTCCTCCCCTTTTGCCATTCTTTCCCTCTGTCTGCTGAAAGTTCCCCCGAAGAAGCTGTGAGCAAAACTGGAAAAATGGAAGAACACTTCCCATTTTCCAGGAAAATGTCCCAATATATTTGTCATTTATGTTTCCAAGGAACCCTTGTTCCTTGGAAACAGCCACAGCCCTCTGGTTCGGGGGAAAGGAAGGGTTAAATTATTGCTTTCATATCAATTAAAGCTTGCAAAGGCTTTGCAGGTCCTGGTGGTGTCATGGATGGAAGTTCCCCTTTTGGGTGTGTTGTGTTTGGGGTTTTTTGCAGTCCCAGGTCACGTAGATGTTCCTATTAAATATGGATTTGTTCAGAAAGGCATTGCCCGTGTAATCACATCATTGCTGCCTTCTCAAGGGCAGAATTCCAGGGAGATAAAGGGCTGGGAAGATGCTTCAGTGCAGCCAAGGACTGCAGAGTGCATTTCACCCCACTGCTGCAGCTTTAGCAGGGGAAGGGGCTGTGGGCACCCATGGGTGGGGGTCTGGCACCTTCCCACCCCTGGAAGCGCTGTGGGAGCTCAGGGATGGTGCACTCCTGGAATTCCTGCCTCCCAGTTTCATCCTCTGCCTTTGCAAGTGCTTAAACTCATGAAAACCTGCCCAGGTGAACTCAGCTGGTGAGGCAGAAATTATAAATCCCTTGCACCACCTCGTTCCCTGCTCTGCAGTGCCTCAATCCCTTTTCCATTTCCCTCTTGCAGAACTACATGAACCCCCTGAGGCTGGTACTGACTCCCCAAGACATGGAAGCTATTTTTATCAATTTGGAGGTAACACTGTGGGCATTGTGCCTTAAATCTTTGTTCTTTTCGCAGCAGCTCAGCCCTCTCCCTGCTTAGGAGGAGGTTTTCTGATTTCCTCTTAGATTTGTGCATTCACTTGGAGAGCTGCAGCCTTTCGTGTGCTGTGGAGCTTAAACTGCTTTGGGAGGCATTCTTTAACACTCAGTTTTAGAGGTGGGGAATATATGAACTGTAGGAAAGAAAACAATTCTATCTAGTGGATGTTTCAGGGCTGGGACTCTGGATTTTAGCTGATTTGGGCACAGGGTGATGAAGGGATTTATCTTTCCTCCGGTTTGCACAGGGTCTAGGTCAAAACCTCATCTCCTCCACTCCTTCCATCCCATCTCCTCCTCCCTCCCCACCCTGGGGCATTTCTCACTGCTGGAATTACACCCCTGTCCTCCAGGCCACTCAGGGCTGCCTTCCACTAGAACAACTTTCTTTACAAACACCTAAAAGAGGGAAACCCCTGCCTGATGAAGGAGGGAATGTGCATTTCTCTGGGCTCTGTTTGCCCACCTGCTTTGAATGTGTTTAAAGTGTTGACTGTTGCTTGGTTTTAGGACCTAATTAAAGTGCACTTCAGTTTCCTGAGAGCCATTGATGTCTCGATGATGTCTGGAGGAAGCAGCCTGGCAAAAGTGTTCCTGGAGTTCAAAGAGAGGTAAAGGAATCCCAGGCTTCAGGCAGCTCCAGTTTTAACAGATTTGGGTTATTTTTGGAGATTTAAACAGAGTTCTTGTTACTCTCTACTACAGCCTGAAAGGAGGCTGGAGCCAGGTGGGGATCTGTCTTTTCTCTCAAGTAACAGCAGGACAAGAGGAAATAGCCTCAAGTTCCACCAGGGCAGGTTTTGAATGGATATTAGTGAAAATTTCTTCACAGGGAGGGTTGTCAAGCACTGGAACATGCTGCCCTGGAAGTGTCCAAAAATTGTGTGGCTGTGGTGCTCAGGGCCATGGTTCAGTGGCAGTGCTGGGTTAGTGGTTGGACTCAGAGGTATTTTTCCACCTAAATAATTCTGTGATTCCAGAGATGCCTTTCACAGCAGCCCAGGTTTGCATCCTCCACGGCAAACTGCTGTCAGGCAGCTGAAACATCACTGAGAGCTGACATGAAACAGCAAAATCCAGCCACAACTTCAGATCATCCAGGGCAGAGGCTGGGACATCTCCCCTGTGACCACCAGGCTCAGTGGTGTGGCTCCTGCAAGCCCCTGGATTTTCCTTGAGCTCAGCATCCTCAAGGAGGCTGAATATCCAGTGTGTTTGTGGGGACACATCTGAGGGGATAAAGATGAGCTGGAATGGAGTGAAACCTCGGTGGCCTTCAGGGGTTTTTGTGGTCTCTGCAAGCAGCAGAGGGCTGTGGTGTGGTGGGGTGACTCCTGCTTTGATCAAAGTGGTTCCTCGCTCTCAAAGAATCTGATATTTGGCACAGAGCTCATCCTGCACCTTCTGCACGGTGAATAAATGTGAAAGTTTCTTTCACAAACAGAATCAATCCTGGGTTTTGGCAGCTGCAAGCAGGAGCACCCCAGCACGCAGAGATAAGGTTGATAAAAGCCTTTAATATCCTTAATAGTAATCAAAGGGTGATTCATTGTGGAATGGTGCCAGGCTGTTATTTCACTGTGATTAAACCAGTGTCTAGACACAGAAATGCCATTCAGAAGTCAATAACTGCAGAAATACCATCTGCATTAATAACACACCGTGAGGTCACATCTTCCATCATTCTGGGGGCCTCTGTTATAAAGGGCATTTTTTTCTGGGTTAAATTACAAAAATATTTCATAGAGGAATGCAAATAATTTCGAAATACTCATAAAACTCACTCAGGTGATTTTGATCTCCTGATTCCTGGCTCAGCCCCGTGCATGCCAGTGCCATCCCTGGGGCAGAGCTGTGGACACAGGGAGCAGGGAGGGGACACAGGAGGGGTTGTGGAGGTGACACTGCTGCCCAGGGAGGTGCAGTGGCTGTGCAGGAGCACGAGGCTGGGTTTTGAGCCATTAAATCAATGTTTTCTTCTGTTGACATGCTGGTGGGAGCTGGCAGAATGCTTGGAGCTGGTGAGTTCCATGCAGATGGGTGAAGCAGCTGACCCCCTTCCTAAGGGAGCTTGCAGACAACTTCCTGAAGGACCTGAAAGCCTTGGAGAGGTGTGAGGGAAACAGCTGTGAGGTGGTGGTGGTTGATCTGAAGCTCTCTTCAGTCCAGGGAGACTTTGGGGACATCAGTGCTGTGGGAAGCAGCTGTGAGGTGGTGGTGGTGGATCTGAAACTCCTTCAGTCCAGGGAGACTTTGGGGACATCAGTGCTGTGGGAAACTGCTGCTCAAGGGGGGTTTTACCTTGGAGAAAATCAGATTGTTGGGGATGAAGAGTTTGGAGCAGCCTGATGTAAACAGGCGGAGTCCTTTCCTCCATCAGGAAGGTCAGGAACACCACATTTTACAGCAAGGGAATTTCAGTGCAGGAGGAGGAAGAGAAGGTGAACTCGCTGGGGAGACAGTGTTGTCCCACCAAGAAGGGAACATGGACCTCCAGAGTCCCCACTTGGTCCCTGAGTATGGGACCTTCCTCCATCAAATCTGTCCATGACAAACAACTCCTGCTGCCCTCCACATCCTTGGAGACACTCTGGCAAAATGATGCATTACTCCTTGGCTTTGCAGGGGCCTTTTTTTAAGGAAATAGTTTGTAAATCTCTTCCTCTGGAAGACAGAGGTTTGAATTTATGCTCCTGAAACCTTTTTGAAGCTCTCCCCATTCTGGCAAGGTAGATGTTATTGTGCCTGTGCAGAAGTTGTCAGGGGGAAAAGGTGGAAGAATAATCTTTACTGGCTGTGGCTCCATAAATCTCTTTATTCACTTCCCTGCAGGGTGTGAATGTCCCATGTTTATGGAGCAACTGGGTCAGTGGTTCCCAGGTCATCTCCATCGAGAGATGAGGCCCCCAGATAACGGATGAGATGCAGTTTGTGATGGAGGATGTGTCTCAGCAGCAGCAGCAGCACAGTTAACAGCCAGAAAGGGGGAGAAAACCCAAACCTGTCAGGCAGGATTAATGAAGGAAGTGAGGGAAAAGGGGGAATCCATGACAAAACTGCTCTTTTTTTGTCAGTGTTTAAATTTATAGCCCAGGGTGTCCATGCAGTGCTTCACTGTGTTTCCAAAGGCTGTGACAACATTCTTTTCCCAATTACCCAGGCTCTTGATCTCTAGGTCCCCGTGGCTCATTCAAGAAGATGTGATTCTAAAATGTGACATAGAACCATCATGGAATCACTGAATGGTTTGGGTTGGAAGGGACCTTAAAATCCATCCCATTTCACCCCCTGCCATGGGCAGGGACACCTTCCACCATCCCAGCTTGCTCCAAGCCCCGTCCAACCTGGCCTTGGATAATTCCAGGGTCAGCCACAAACTCTCTGGGCAGCTTCTGACAGTTCCTCACCACCTTCACAAGGAAGAATTTCATCCCACTACCTCATCTAAAACCAGGCTCCTCTGCTCTGCCCACCCAGCCCCTTCTGCTCATCATGAGCTGAATCACCTCCATACACTCTGGAAACTTCTAAATGTTCAAGTGATGGAAATCTAAATGTCAAAAAGCCACACAGTAAAAGAGTGTTTATACTTTGCTAAGCAGTGAAAAGGGGGAATAGCTGTTCGCCTCGGCCTTTCGCTGTACACACATTTATATATCTTTTATAACAGCTTATAACTGCCAGCATTTCCAGTTAAACCTGTGATTTTCCTCCCTCCAGGCTGCTGATTTATGGCAAGTACTGCAGCCACATGGAATATGCCCAGAACACCCTGAACCACCTCCTTGCCAACCGGGAGGACGTGCGGCAGAAGGTGGAGGTGAGCGGGCAGGGGCTGAGTGCTGCCCCCAGCCCTTGTCCCAGCTTTGGGAAGGACCTGCTGGAGCTGAGGATGGTGTCTGGGGAGTGTTTGATTGACCAGAAGAGAAGAAGGGTGTCACAGTGTGTCTGTGCTGCCACAGAGGGAGCAAAGCTGGGTGTTATCCTGTCCTGTGCCTCGTTTTTCCCTTGTCTCCTCACCAGACCTTCAGTCTGTCCTTCCTCCCCAAGTTTATCCAAGTTAAAACAAACCAGTGACTTTATTTGAGTGGGACTGGCTGGGACAAGTTCTTTGAGTTGTGCAGGCCCTGAGCATCCCCAAACCAGGAGCCACGTGGTTTTCCAAAGCCACCAGCAGCATCGGGGACTGGCAGAGGCAAACCCAAATCCCCAGGCAAACACCAGAATTCCTGCCCTGGCCTTCTTAGTGTGAATAGGAGCTGATCCAGACATTAGGGGAATCAAAGGAGCCCCAGAAGGACTGCATTGTTTGAGCTGCTGGTTTTACCCAGCTCTAATTCCTGCTTTGCTCTTGAAGCTAATCGGAATTTGCCGGGCTGTCTGTCCATGTTACCTCACCTCCTGCAAATGTGCTTTGATTCCCTGTGTGAACCCAGTCCAGGGGTAAAGCTGCAGTTAGGAATTGTGGAAAATGGGCTCTCTGTGTCTCACATCAAGGCTGGAGCATCCAGTTGCTCCCTGCTTTTGCTGTCTCTCCCTCCCTCGTGGCAGCTCTGTCATGCAGGGGGGCTGAAAATGAGTCTGGGCAAAGGTAACTGTGGCAAAACTTCCTCCAACCACAATTAGCTCATCTTAATGGTTTAATGCTCATCAGCGACTCCAGAGCCACAGGCTGCATGCTCAGTGCCAGCCCCTCACCAATCAGTAGCTTGGCCCAGTGAGGAGGTGGCTGAGGCAGATGGGTTTCATTTGACATTGCCCCAGGTCTGGGAGCATTCATACAGTGCCCTAATGAGCAGCATCTCATTAGGCTGGAGTGGCTCATTTGCATGGCAGTGGCTGGAATTTAGGGTCCAGCCCCTGGGATGAATCCCTTGGTAACCTCTGTGGTGGGAGCCCAGCCCTGGGTGGCTGCAAGGTCTGTGGGCATCAGAACTGAGTTTACAGGAGCCAAACAAACATTCTCAAGACTTCAGAGACTTCTTTTAGGTGGGAAGCTGTTGTTTTCTCCCTGCTGATTTATTGATCTCCTTCCTAGGAATGCACACTAAAGGTCCAGGATGGGAAATTCAAATTGCAAGATCTGTTGGTGGTTCCAATGCAAAGAGTTTTGAAGTATCATCTCCTGTTAAAAGTAAGTTTTTCAGCACTGGCACTTCTCTCTCTGCTGTAGCATCTTTCACCTCTGTCAGTGAAGGGTGAATCATTGCCAAAGGCAAGCAAAAAGAAGGGGATTTTTATTCCCCTTCAAATAAAATAATTACTGGAGCTACTTAACACAACATAATATTTGTGCTGTCTCCTAAAGTAGAGTGACCCAGGGTAATTCTGCACTTGCTAGCCACAAGAGGCACTTAATGAACATAAAATAAGCTTGCATATAATCTGATTATGTGTGAAATTCCTCCAGTCAACTCCATGTAACAGATCTCTCAAGCACCAGCCCTTGGTGTGTTCCCTGTCCTGCAGCCACAGCTGCCTGCTTGGGCATCCCTGCATCCCTGCCACCTTCCTGGCATCCCTGCCACCTCCCTGGCATCCCTGCTGTCACCCAGGCATCCCTGCCACCTTCCTGGCATCCCTCCAGTCACCCTTGGAATGCCTGCAGCCACCCTGACATCCCTGTCACCACCCTGCCAACACTCAGGCAGACCCTCTCCAGTGCAAGTAGGGTCTGGAAATCTTTCCTAGCACATCCAAACTCCTTATTTTTATTAATTTATATTTACTTCTATTATTAATTTTTATTACTTATTAATTTTATTTATTTGTTATTTATTATTTAATATTTTATCGTTTTATTTTTATTTCAGGAGCTGCTCAGCCATTCCTCAGACCGGCCAGAGAAGCAGCAGCTGAAGGAGGCTCTGGAGGCAATGCAGGTACAGAGGGTGAAGTGGGGAGTGGGCTGTGCTGGCTTTGGGCTGCTGCAGAGCTCAGGATCCCTCTGCTCTGTGGAACAAAAAATTGGATTTAAAATGCACCCAGGAGCAGCTTGAGGGAAGGCAAGGTCTGCTCCTTTTGGCCATGCCTGTGTGCGTGGATTGTCACCTGGTGTGGTGGCCTCGCAGCAGATCCCTTGTCACCACTGTCCCCCTGAGGCAGAGGGGGGAGCTGGGGTTTGTTGACAAGTTAGGACTTTTCCCTGATTGCTGCTGTGTGTGCAGAGGCTCTGCCAGATCCGGCTTTTGTCTCTGCTGGGAAGGATTTGGAGGAGCTCCAGAGGTATCAGCAAGTCAGGGAGTGTGGCAGCCATGGGAGTCTGCCTGTGTGGAGCATTCCCTGGGTGCTGTCAGCCAGGTGCTGGGTGGGAATCCTTTAATCCACCTTTTTTTATTTTATTTTGTTATAGGGAAGATGTGTTTTCAACAATTGATGACTTTTGGCATCAGCAGTTTGCTTTGCTTCACTTCGAGTTGGTTTTTTTCAGCTTTTAGCTGGAGCCCCCAAAATCCCAGAAAAACCATCAGCAACAACAACAAAAAAAAAAATCAAATTGTAGAATCATCCAAACGTTTCCTGGCTCGGTTATATCTCCCCACACACACATTCACACCAGATCCACTGTCAGCAGAAGCTGACTGGAGGATGCTCACCTCAGGGTTCATCCCTGTGCTCGTGGTCACTTTGTTTTCCACCTCTGGGCTGCAGCTTTTGTAACGTGGCTGCATTTTCTGGCCCTTACATAAGCTGGGTGACCTTTCCAGCCGTTCTCCTGCCAGCCCAGGGCTGCTGTGGGGCTCTCTGTGGAGCTGAGGTGCTTTGAAGGACGTTGCACTGCCAGCCTGCTGCTGTGGCCTCAGATGAACGCTGTGCCTGGTGACAGCAGCTCAGCCCTGCTCGTGGCCTCATCACCCAGCAGCACTGCTGAAAAACAAATGTGTGTTTGCTCTGGCTCTGCTGCACACTCAGCATTTGCTGCAGGAGGATGTTGATAACCATCAGCGAGGTTTCTCTCTCCTCCTCCCCATCCCCAGGACAGTGTGGGAGCAGTTCTGACCACGCTGGGCTCGGGGGGTTTGGGAGCCATTCAGTTTGGTTTTAATTGATCTGTAAACCAAGGCTTAACTTCCAAGTGGTGTCTTTCATCACAAGTCCAGCCTTTCTGTCTGCTGTGCTGGCAGGCAGCAGACATTGCTGCTGTCTGGGGTGAGGGCTGTGCAGGGGGGTGGATGCACTGACATTCCCAGAGGGATTCTGCTCCCTTTTATTTGGCTTGAACAGTTGCTTTTGCAAGGCAGGGGCAGGATTTGCACCAAAAAAAAAATCATTTGTGGTGGGGTTTTTTTGGGTGCAGGTACCAATCCTCTGCCTGAGAATGCAGGACTGAGTTCCCAGTGGTGGTGGGGGAAATGCAGCTCCCAGTGAAATTCCACAACCAACATTTGCAGGTTGTTGTTTTGAGTTCTGGTTGATCCTGGGATTGTGCTTGCCTGGGATTGTGTTTCCCTGCTTCAGAAGGCTTTTGGTTGTGTCATTTCTCATCACCATCCCTGCCACCCCGGGCCTGGTGATGTTACAAGTATTGTCACGTAGATCTGTGACTATGGGATGTGATTAACCCTCCTTGTGTTGGGGAGCTGAGCGAGGTCTGACCCGGGGGGATGTCTTAAAAAATCCCTGCTCAGATTTAATCCAAGTTGACAAGAGCTGTTGTTGAGGTCAAGGAGGGAGCAGATAAGAAGCAAACAGGCACAGCAAATCCACTCTGAAAGGTGCAAGAAGTTGTCCCAGTGGAAGGGATGGCTCCTTCTCTTTGATGGATGAAAATCTGGGGTTTGGGACCGCTGTGCTGCCATGGATTCCTGCATTGCCATGGATTCATGCATTGCCATCTTCTGGGAAATGGAAAACATTGCAGCACCTGCCTGGCTCTGGGAGCACCAACAACCTCACCTGTCCCAGGCTGCTCAGACTCCTGAGGGATTCAGGGAGCCAGGCTCATGTTTGTTCTCCTGGGTAAGGTACTGGTAAAGTAAAAATCACTATTCACCTTTTTTTTTGTAAGGACTTGGCCATGTACATCAATGAAGTCAAGAGGGACAAAGAGACTTTGAAGAAAATAAGTGAATTTCAGAGCTCTATAGAAAACCTGGTAAGTTGGAAAATCCTCTTGAAGACAGTTTAATTCATTTATTATTAATGTATTTGGGTTTTTTGGGCAATTACTGCTTATTCTGATGTGCTGAAAGATCCCCATGTGTTCAGACTCTCTCCTGATTTGCCGATGGCCCAGAGGTGGATGCTCCATCACAAAACTGCTTTGGCTGGGATGAAGGGTGGCTTCTCTTGCTGGTGTTACACTAAAAATGGCTCTTCAGCTTTTTCTCACATTATTACTGTAGGAAGGACAGAGAAGTTCCTCAAGCTGCCTATCTGGCTTCTATTTAAAATGAGGTTTTCTTTTGATTTTAAGAGGACAGAGGTTAACTGAAGGGGGAGGAGAAGGGCTCATGTAAAAAGACACTGAATCCCCAGAAATTTCAAGCAGGTATTTTAAGGAGAACTCATCCTCCAAACTGCAGAGGTGCCAAACACTCAGCCCTGCTGCTGTGCCTCAGCACACCTGGTGCTGGGTTTGGGGGCTTCAAGCCGTGGCTTCATTTGGAAGCTATGAACTTTTAATTGATGGCTGTTTAACAGAGACAAAATCCTTAATTATTATGAAAACCTCTGAAAAATAGCTTATTTCAGGTGGGGAGGGTTTGCAAAAATGCTCCAAACTGCTGAGCCTTGCTCTGGGTGCCCAGTGCTGGAACTCTGGGGGTTCTTGGGGGACTGTGCTGGGGGTGACTCCAGCCAGCTCTGGGGTTCCCCTGCCCAGGGCAGCGTTCCAGGCTGGCTCTGGGTCTGAGCCCTGCCTTGCTTCCTGCAGCAGGTGAAGCTGGAGGAGTTTGGGAGGCCCAAGATCGACGGGGAGCTCAAGGTGCGCTCCATAGTGAACCACACCAAGCAGGACAGGTGAGTGGCCCCTGTCCCCAGTGTCCCCAAACATGCCCTGGGTGCCCAGTGCTGGAGCTCTGGGGGGTTCTTGGGGGGCTGTGCCTGTGTCCATGGCCAGGCTCCCTCCTCCCTCACTTACATGAACATTTTCGTAAGCTAGGCTGCGTGCATAAGTAGATGTGTATATGTGCCTTATTAAATTTCTGTAATTATTAAATGATTAAATTTCTGTAAAACTTTTTGCCAGTTACATTGACGCTAATTGCTTTTCACCAGTGAACAGAATAAGTTATTATATTGTATATTATATATAGCTCATGACTATATATACATACTATATAGTACATATACTATATACTATATATACACACACTATATAGTATATATATATACTTTATACTACATATATATACTATATTTTATATATATATATATCTATATATATATATATATATCTATTTTTTTCCAGCTTTCAAGGCAGCCTTAAATAGCGTTGGGAAATGTTTATTAATGTGGGGCTGGGCTGGATCCTTGACCTGTGTCCTGGCAGAGCAGCCCTGAGGAGGCTGGGATGATTGGAGCTAGGAGGGAGGAAGCTGCTCTCTGCTTTCTGGCCCAGTGTCAGGGAGCAAACATCAGATGGGCAGGAGAGGAGGGCAGGGAGGAGGGAGGGAAGGTGCAGGATGTTCTTTCTCCCACAAGCTGCAGGGTGGAGGAGCCTGGAAAGGCAGCTTTGCACACCAGGCTGCCAAAATTGGCACTCAAAGCACTGAAGGAACATCATTTTCCTGTGGTTTGATGCTCACTCTGCAGCCATGGAGGAAAAACCTCCCAGCTCTTGCTTTAAGTGAGCCCCTTCAGCTGAATCCATTTCCATCCCATGGCAAGAGCTGTGGTGCAGATGGGATAAGGGACAAGAACTGCCTAGGGAACGCTGCTGGCTTTGTGTTTTAATGAAATCTCTCTCCCCTTTGCTCTCCTATGCTTTCTAGTCCCATGGAAAAATGGTAAGCAGAGCACCCCTTTGGCTGTGTGTGTTTGTGTGCAGTGTGCTGACAGACAGGCTGAGCATATGTGCAGTGGGCAGGTCAGATGTTCCTCCTGGGCTGTCACTTGCTGTCAGGCACGGGCAGAAGGGCTGGGGAGGATCCAGTGGAGCAGAAGAATCTGGGTTCTCTCATCTGCCACCATGAGATCCTGCCTGCTCCAAGTGCACAGCACCAGGCGGTTCAGGCTCATTAACTGGGATGTGTTAGAGACACAGGGAGCTCTCCTTCCTCCTCCCCTGCTGTCCCTGGCTCAGCACAGGGGGCAGGGACAGGCACTCAGAGCAGTGCCTGAGGCCTGTGAGTGGAGCTGAGGTGTGTTCTGCTGCCAGATCTGCTCTCTTTTCCTTTGCAGTGGTCCTACGGCTTCTACCTGATCCACCTCCAGGGGAAGCAGGGCTTCCAGTTCTTCTGCAAGACTGAGGAGATGAAGAGGAAGTGGATGGAGCAGTTTGAAATGGCCATGTGAGCATGAGGGGCTGCTCCAGCCCCGGGTGCAGCTGCCAGGAGTGGGGGAGAAGTGTCTTGGGCCATCAGGTCACTGCAGAGCAGCTCTGACAGCAAAACCTGTGGTGGGGAAGCTCCTGGGGGCTTGCTGGACGAGTCCCTGTGCAAAGGGAGCTTGGAAGTGTTCTCTGAGCATCCCCACCGAGCATCTCTGGCACTGAGATGGCACATTGGGCAGGAATCCTTCCCTGGGAGGGTGGGCAGGCCCTGGCAGTGCCCAAGGCCAGGCTGGACAGGGTTGGAGCAGCCTGGGACAGTGGGAGGTGTCCCTGCCGTGGCAGGGGTGGGGTGGGATGATTTTAAATGTCCAATCCAAAGCTTTCTGTGATTCTCTGGAAGGACACCTCACCCTGGTGTCCTTGGGGAGCACCAGGCTGGGGCAGGAGCAGGGTGAGGAGGGAGGGTGGTGCTGCAGGGCTGGTCCTGAGCAGGGCTTGGGCTGATGGTGACTCAGGCCAAACCCATGACTCCTGTCCCAGGGGAAGGTAATGGGCAAAATCCTCTCTCTACAACCAAGCCCTGATCTCCTTCCACACTGGATTTGGTGTCTGTGTGGTGTCCAGGCTGTGACTGAGGTGCCAGCAGCCCTGTGGGGACAGGCTGATAACCCCCAGCTCCTTCCCCTCAGGTCCAACATCAAGCCAGAGAAAGCCAATGCAAATCACCACAACTTCCAGATGTACACATTTGAGAAGACAACCAACTGCAAAGCCTGCAGGATGTTCCTGAGGTGAGCAACAACCTTCCTGCTGTTCTGCAGTAAAACACAGAAAGAAAAACCTCAAAGCTGAGGTTGGATTAGGATTTTCTGACTGGGTTTTTTTTTTTGGTGGCACAGAGGAACCTTCTACCAGGGCTATCTTTGCCCCAAATGTGGAGCAGGTGCTCACAAGGAGTGCTTGGAGATTATTCCTCCCTGCAAGATGGGTGAGTAATTTCATGAGCAGCTTGTTGCTGCACGTGAATGATCTGAGAAATTCACTTTATAAAGCACTGATGTTTGTTAATGCATAAAAAACCACAAGTGTGCTCCCACCCCACCTGCCAGAGCTGTAATTCATGTTGGTTGATGGTTTAAAATGCAAACAAAGGAGCAAAATTCTCCAAAACAAACAGCTGCATCCCATGGATGGCAGGGAGTCACAGCAGCTCTGTGCAGGGCTGGGATCTCCAGCTCTTGTGGGTGGGCATTGAAGAGAGATGATCAATTCTTCATCATTTAACAGCGAAAGCAGGAGGGTCTGCAGCAGGGAGAACATTTCTGATGAGGAGAGAGCTCCTCTCCAGACCCCAAATATCCCAAAGCCCAGCAAAAATTTGTGTCCTTGGTCTAAACTGGGCAAAGCTGGGACTCCCCTGTGCTCACCCAGGGCAGAACCCTGCTGATGCTCCAGGGGGGGTCACAGGGGGGCTTTGGAAAGATTTTGGGTGAGGAGGGGAGGGAGGGAGGAACAAAATTGCAGGACTCAAAGTGACCCCAGCTCTGCTTTGGCCTTCCTGCTTCAGCTTCACACCCTGCTGCTGGTCTGTTGACACTCAGAGCATCAAGAGAACCAGAAAATGGAGTTTTTTCTTGCTAAATTAACCCTTTACCCCACCATTTCTCTTGCAGGTTCTTCAGCAGACCAGGTACGTGGTTTGGCCTTTTCCTCACCCCCCTGTGCCCTTGTCCAGTCTGGGTGTGGGCAGCTCATGGGAAGAGCCAGCACTGGACTCAGAGGGGTCCCAGCAGCCTGTGGGACAGCACTGGGACCAGTGGGATAGGACTGGGGTCAGTGGGACAGGACTGGGGTCAGTGGGACAGCACTGGGACCGGTGGGACAGGATTGGGACCAGTGGGACAGGATTGGGGTCAGTGGGACAGCACTGGGGCCAGTGGGACAGGGCTGGGGTCAGTGGGACAGGATTGGGACCAGTGGGACAGGACTGGGACCAGTGGGACAGGATTGGGGGACAGGATTGGGGTCAGTGGGACAGCACTGGGACCAGTGGGACAGGGCTGGGGCCAGTGGGACAGGGCTGGGGTCAGTGGGACAGGATTGGGACCAGTGGGACAGGACTGGGACCAGTGGGACAGGACTGGGGTCAGTGGGACACTGGGGCCCCCAGTGGGACAGGACTGGGACCAGTGGCCTCCTCTCCAGCCTAGAACTGGCCCAGTTTAAGCAGCCCCAGAGCCCTCAGGAGGTGCCAGCACCCAGCTGGGGTGGGCACCATGGGCTGGGGGGTACCAGGGGAATCTGGGGAGGGGTTTTCTCACCCCATGGGTATCAGGTGGCTGCTCATAGGGAGAATTGAGGCTGATGTGTCCTCACTGAGCATTTTTCCTCTTTCTTTGCAGGATTCACTGGGTGCAGGACCTGGTAAGGGCATTGCTGTGGGGCAGGGACAGCTTGTGGCTGCAGGAATCCCCAGCTCTGGGTGTGTGGGAGGGGGAGGCTCCTTCCAAACCCAGGAGGGAGCTTTAGTGCCTGCAGAAGGGTCCTGTGCTTCCTCGTGGCCAGCCATGGGGCACTGGGGTCTCTCCTGTCCCTGCTGCCCCAGAATTTCAGCCCTGGGCCAGCAAAGCTCTGCCCATCACACCGAGGAGAGCCTGGCACGACATCCTCGTGCCAAATCAACCTTCAGGGCAGAGCAGGCATGTTCTGGCAGGGAGATTTCTTGCTGATGGGCAGCATGTCCAGTGTGCTCAGGGCCATCAGTCACAAAGGTTGCTGCAATAATTTTTTTTTTATCTTCCTGTGTTTGAAACTTGCCTGGACAGAGCTCTGGGCCTGCCCTGCCCCTGCTGTGGCTCAAAGGAGAAGAACAATTTGTTTTTGTGCTGTTTCTGATGGAAGGAAAGCCAAGCCTGGCAAAAAGAAACCTGAATCAAATTTGTGGTTAAAAAAACCCAAAAAAAACAACAAAACAAGCACAGAGTGCTCTTGCTGGGAGGGGAGAGGCAGAGGTGGGGAGGCATTTTGAGGATAAACACTGTGGGTTTGGTGCAGTGGGGGAAGTTTATTTAATGTGCAGTTGTTGGCAAGACAAGTGGACTTTGACTGGGAGCTTCAGGGGCGTTTTGAGTCCCAGGTCCAGCTGATATTCAGTGGTAGCTGAGTGTTCACAGGTCCCTTTTGCAATTGTGGGGTCACTGCTGAGCCTGGCAGGGCTTGCTGCTGGCCAGGCACTGCCTGGCAAGAGCTCCTCTCCTTGATTTTCCTCTCCTCCCCTGGATTTGAGCTCCTTGCTGAGGCTCAAATCCAGGTGCAGGGCTGGGAGCTGGAGCTTCAGCTTGGCTGGGTCCTTCCTGGGTTTATTTTTGCTCAGGGAACTCAATCATGCATGTAACTGCAGGAGCCAAGAACATTCACTGTGGACACCATTCCTTTCTGCTTTCATGTTTCCTGCCCCTAACTCCTGCCTGCTGTGCCCTGTCAGGGGATGAGGAGAGCAGGCTTCAGGAGGGCTGGCTCTGTTTGGGCTTTTTTTTCAGCTGGGACAAGGCTGTAAAACTGTTTTGCTTCTCTGCCAGGTCCTAAAATGGTGGCTGTTCAGAATTACCATGGAACCCCAGCCCCTCCTGGGAAGCCAGTGCTGACCTTTCAGATTGGGGACGTGATGGAGCTGCTGAGGGGGGACCCCGACTCACCGTGGTGGGAGGTGAGCGTGATTCCTCTTGGGAAACTCCTGGAAACTCCTAAACCAGTGACTTCTGCATGATGCCTTTGATTTTGGGGCTTTCCTGGTGCAGGGGTGTGCTGGGGCTCGGGAGGCAGTTTGGGGCCTGTCCCCCCCCTTCCCAGTGCCACCAGTGCTCATCCCAGTCTGATGCCCAGCTTGGCTTTGCAGGGGAGGCTGCTGCAGACGAAGAAGTCGGGTTATTTCCCCAGCTCCTCAGTGAAACCCTGCCCCGTGGATGCCAGGGTAAGTGCCACAGAGGGGATGGAGCTGGGACTGCCAGGTGGGGTTGTCCCTGTCACACTTCTCAGCCTTCTCCTCAAGACCTCAGTCTTTCCCTGGGCCTTCAGCAAGGCCTCTGCCTCGCAGGGGAGGTGGATCCCTCCTGCCATGGTGCAGGTGTCAGGGCAGGGTGGTCCCAGCCCTGTTCCCAAGGCTGGGGTTGGCATCATCAGATTCAGCTCTGTTCCTTCCCTGACCCAGGAGCAGAGTGCTGGAGATCAGGCCCAGTGCAGGAAAACTGCGTTTGGTTTGTTTTAATTGCTTTTAGCTGCTTGCTGTAATGTTGTCAGCTGCTTCCCAATTAAAAACCACTCAGGTAAATGAACAAACACAGCCTGCTCAGCCCAGCTGGGAGCTGAGAGGGAAATGCTCAGCTACAACACTGCCCTCCTCTGCCCAAGCCCAGAATCCGGGGATGGCTTGGCAGAGGGAATCCTCCCGTGGAGAGGAGCATCCCACACAGCCTGAGGAGCTGCTGGCTCTTCACTAATGAGCAATTCTCACTTTGCAGCCCCCCAACAGCCGGCCGCCCTCGCGGGAGATCGACTACACGGCGTACCCGTGGTGAGTGGGCACAGACACACACCAGCCTTGCCTTTTGGGTGCTGCTTGCTCAGGAATCCGCTCCAGGAAGGGATTCCACATGCAGACCAGCAGAGCTCTGCATCCACCTTTCTCTGGATGCCATGGAGCTGCCTCGGTGGTGGTTGGGGGGATGTTAAAAGCCCTGGCAGCAGCTGTGGGGATTTCTTCACTGGTGGAGAGGGTCAGAGGCAAAAAGAGACATGCTGGTTTCTCTTCCCATTTTCTGTGCCCAGAAAATGATTGTGGGAGGAAGGAGGCAACTCCTGCCTTGGCAGGAGAGGCTGTGCTTGGCTTGCCTGCTGCTCCTTCTCTCCAGCTCCAGCCAGGTTCATGAATTCATGGATATAAATTATCCCTGCTCTCCAGCTCCTGCTGAGGCCTCATTAACCTGGAGACTGATTCCCAATTAGTGGGTTTTTCCAGGTGTCAGGTACTTCAAAGGGAAGAGGCCACTCTCTGTGCTTCAGTGGCTCAGCAGCTTCTTGTATATCTCAGGGCACTTCCCCTCCTGCTCAGGATATTTCAGATGTTGCTCCACCTGCCTTCCATCCTTCATGCCTTTAAAAAAGATGTCTCTTTCTATCCAAAACATGCCTGTTCAAGGATACGAGTTCATTTTAATGAATTAAATGGACTAATTAACCTCTGGGCTCAGGTTTGCAGGGAACATGGAGAGGCATCAGACAGACAACCTGCTCAAGTCTCATGTCAGTGGCACCTACCTGATCCGGGAGCGGCCGGCTGAGGCCGAGCGCTTTGCCATCAGCATTAAGTGAGTAATTCCCCACTTAGGAACTTAATAATTCAATATTTCTCACAGAGGACGAGCCAGGGCTGGAGCACGTGGCTGTGGGTTTTTTTCAGTGCCTTTGCTGTCGTTGGCAGGTTCAACGAGGAGGTGAAGCACATCAAGGTGGTGGAGAAGGACAACTGGATCCACATCACGGAAGCCAAGAAGTTCGAAAGCTTGCTGGTGGGTTTTTGTTCCCCCTTATAGCACTGTCTCTGCAAGTCATGCAGGGGCTGGCAGAGACAGCCAGGTGCCTCTCCTTCCTTCCCAGGAGCTGGTTGAGTACTACCAGAGCCACTCGCTGAAGGAGAGCTTCAAGCAGCTGGACACAACTCTGAAATACCCCTACAAATCCCGGGAGCGCTCTACCTCCAGGACCTTCACCCGCTCCCCAGGTAAAACCAGCTTGGCTGCCACGGAAAACCTGCCCCTTCCTGCCAGCTCTAGGAGCAGTGGGTGAAGGAATTGACAGCTTCCCTGTAGGATTTGAGTTGCTCAGTTTGCAGATAAGTCCTTCTGGGCTGGTGGCACTTTCAGGATGGGTCTCTCCAGGATGGGTCAGGGGGTCTGGCTGAGCTGGGGCTCTCTGGCACTGCTGCTCTCTGAAGGGACAGTTTTCACTGGTTCCCCTCCTGTGGTTTTTCACCCTGTGGTTTGCCCACCCTCTGGTTGGGAGCAGGGATGTGATGTTCACTTGGTGGGATTTATCCTGTCTTTCCCACCCATGGGAGATTTTTGTGTTTTAATGGATCCGGTTCCAGTGTGACTTGTGGTGGTTTGAATCCCAGTGGGACTCCTTTAATGGAGGTGATGGGTGAAAGGGTAAGTTTGTGTCTAAAAGAAAAAGAAAGGAAAAATCAAAATAAATGGGAAGAAAAAAGTGCAATAATGCAAGATGCTGTTTTGTCCAAAAGCCTGAGTGCACAACTAACTGCTTTTTGGGGAAAAATAACTTTTAAATATTTTTCTCCATGGTATATTTAGAAAAGAATACCAAAGGAAGACAGGTTTTAAAAGTTGTTTAAATACTTTTTTGCATTAAATACAACCCTAGGATGAATTTGGAGCCCCCAGTGGCTGTGGGGCTGTGGCCAGACCTTTTCTCAGCTGTCCCAGCTCGGAGCCCCTGCACAAGACCCTCTGCATGCTTTGCCCTGTATCCCTCCATCAGCTTTTAAAGCATTGTGCCTTATAATATTTTATTTTAATTTCCTTTTTAATGCGTGTTCTGCCTCTTTCTGTTTCTCTCTAACCTCTTTGCAGCCTCCTGCGCTTCCTACAACTTTTCTTTTCTCAGTCCTCAGGGCCTCAACTTTTCTTCTCAGAGCTCCTCCAGTCCCTTCTGGTCAGGTACCAGTGCCTCTCCCTGCTGGAGAGACCTGCCACCATCCCCAGCTTGAAAGCCATCACCAGTGGCACCTGTGGGGTCCCCCCTGTCCCTCCATCCCCACAGGCAGTTCAGGGGGTCCCCAGTGCTGCCCTGGGAAATCAGTTAATTAGGTTAATTAACCATGGCTTGGTTGGCAGCAAAATGCACTCCCCCCTCTCCCCAAAATCAAGGCAGGGAGGAGATGGAGTTGTTGCTGTTTGAGAAAAGGGGCTAAAATTAACCAAAAAAAAAAAAAAGTGGATGTAGCACTTTGGGATCTCATGATGTACTTCAAGCTCGACCTGGTTATCCTGTGTGTGTCACCCTGAGCATCAGCATCTCACCCTGTCCCAGTCTGCCCCGCCTTGTCCTCCAGGAGAACATCCCAGTGTCCTGCAGGGTTTGAGCTCTGCTCTCTGGGGCTGCTCAGGAGCCCCTTGCTGAGGGGACAGGGACACACCTGAGCTGTCAGGGGTGTTTTGGAGCTCAGTGTCTCCCCACAGAGAGTGCAGTGTCATCCTTTCCAGGCTGGTGTCACCCTCCCTCTTGATGGGATCAGAGCAATATCTTGCCAGATTTTCTTCCCATTGAAGTTTTTATCTTTCAGTCTCTCCTTTGGGCTGGACAGAGAAAATCACCAGCAAAGCCAACATGTGCCTTCCCTGTTTGGGTAGAACACTGAACTTTTCAAGCACAAATCTGGGATTTTGAGATTCTCTAACTGCATAGAAGTTACTGCAGGAAGTGATCTGTGTAGCAAGGGGCTCTGAGCAAGCTCCTGATGACAGAGCTCAAAGCTGCCTTGATTTCTGTCCATCCTCCAGCCTGGCTGCCTGGCCAGGACGGACAAATCCTCCAGTGGTTGCACATTGTGTGTCCAACACCATCGCCATCCTCATCTCCTTCCACCCCAAGAGCTGAAAACCTGGGCAAAGCTTTCCCTCAAACTTTGTTCAACCTTGGTTTGCGCACTTTTATAGTTGAAATTAACCCTTGGAAATCCTGGGAGAAAGAGGGGAGTGAAACACAGCATCCCCTCAGGGTGTTTATTTTCTTTTTTGTGAACTTCAGAGGATGTGCATTTTTCTCCTCCTCTGCCCATCCCATCCCATCCCTCCACTGTGGTTCTCCAGCCTTTTTCCCTGTGCCCAGATTTTGGGGCAGGAATGCTGAGTGCTGCCCCTGCCTTCCCCCTCCTTGTGCTTCCCCTGAGCATCCCCTGCCTGAAGTGATGGAGATCCCTGTGGCTGGGGCTGTGCTGGTGCAGCTCAGCTCCTGGGATGGCTCCTGGGGTCATCTCCTCATCCCAAGGTGCTGGTCAGTGTCAGGGTTTGGCACCATTTGGTCTTCAATGAGACCAAGTTGCCAAGGTTTCTCCCTGGCAGGGACAGGAGCAGGGGAGTTCTAGGTTAGGAGCTGGTTCCTCCTCATGGCAAAGCACACACGATTCACTCAACACCTCTAGGAGAACCCATTCCCAGCAGCTGTGGTTTTGAAGTAGCTTAAATCCAGGTTGATTTACAAAGTGGTTCCATCAGGTGCTGGGAGCTGGGTGGCAGCTCCACAAGGCAAATCTCCCAGACCTGACGCTGAGAGCTGAACAGGATTTTCCCATGATTTCTTTGGTAATGGTTGTGCATTCCTATGAAATCCTTCCTTTTACCACCTCCCAGTAGTGCCCTTCACCCCAGTGACCCCCACCCAACCCCTGACCAGCAGAGAGGAGCTCCCCAAACCCTCAGAACCCTTCAAACCCAGCAGGAACCCGCTTTAACCCCGACCACCCCACCCGCGCGGGGCTGAGCAGCTCGGGTGATGCCACCCCTCCATCTGAGCAGCTCCAGCTCTTGGTGCCATGCTGAAAAACCCAGGTTGAACCTGTGCAAGCTTTCCCCAGGCTTCAGCCGGCGTGGGGCAGCCGCTGAGGCGCTGTGCTTTGTCCCCTGGCAGTGTTCACCCCCCGGGTCATAGGCACGGCCGTGGCACGGTACAACTTCGCGGCGCGGGACATGCGGGAGCTGTCGCTGCGGGAGGGGGACGTGGTGAAGATCTACAGCAGGATTGGAGGGGACCAGGGATGGTGGAAGGGGGAGACCAACGGAAGGGTGAGTGCGTCCAGGGGGATTCCTGCAGCGGGATGTCCTCCCTGCTGTCAGGGTGGCGAAGGGAAGGGGGGGTGTCCCGTGTCCTGCTTTTTCCTGGGTTCTGGGTGGGCTGTCACCTCGTGAGAGCCACCTCTGTGTGGCCATTTGGTGCTTTGTGACAGTGATATCCAGGGCACATAGGTGAGTGAGAGCATGTGTGGGAGGGTCTGATCTTCTCTGTGTGGCCATTTACTGCTTTGTGACAGTGGCAGTGATATCCAGGGCACACAGGTGGGTGGGAGCACGTGGTGGGAGGGTCTGATCTTCCCTAAACCTGCCCGTGAGGGATGTCTGCAGGCCCTGCAGGGCTCAGCAGCCTGGGAAAACCACAGCCTGGTGGCTTGGCCTGGTATCCCACAGATTCTGTAGCACTGGAGACAGATTCTTCCTGCCTGATGCCTCGTGGGCACGGTGTCCAAGGTGATGTGCTCCATCCCAAATTAGGGTGATTAGGGCTCACACCATCAGGATCTGGCACATCCAGGACTGGCAACAGCACTTGATGGCAGGGCAATAATCCCAGTGCCAGGACAGGAGCTCCCTTATAAAACCAGAGTTGGAAGGGCCCCGCAAGAATCGCGGTGTCAACTCCTGGCCTTGCACAGGACACCCCAACAACCCCACCCTGTCCCTGAGTTCTCCAAATCCTTAAACTCCAACAAGCTTTGTGCTGTTCCCCTTGAGCTCTCCAGCCCCCAGCTCACCTGTCCTGTCCCCCCACAGGTGGGCTGGTTTCCCTCGACCTACGTGGAGGAGGAGGGCGTGCAGTGAGCGCGGCCGTGGCCGCTGGAAGTCGTCGAGCGCCCGGAGCCAGCAGCTGCAGCCTGAGCGCACTGTCCCCGTGCTGGACACCTCCCAGGACTGCCCCTGCAGCCCCTCATGACCCCCCTGCGTGCAGGCTGCCCCAGCCTGGCCCCTGTTCCGTGTACAGAAGATTGCTGGGCTGTGGGATGGCGCCGGTGGAGAGCCCCGGGAGAGCCGCGCTCTCCCCGATGGACAGAGCTCAGAGACTCTGGGTGCCCAGCAGGGCCTGGGCACTGCACCCCTCTTGTGCCAGGGGGTTTTAAAAGCCACCCTAGGCATGCTGGAGGGAGGCTGAGGCTGAAGGTTTTGTGCCTGGGTGAGAATTTGGGGGGTCTGGGGAGGGAGCCCCAAGGAGGCAATGCAGACCCTCTGCCACAGCACTCGGGGGGTTCCCAGGTCAGGATTTTGGCAGTGGCCCTGGCAGCCATGGGCAGCACTGTGCTGTGGCCAGGGTGAGGGGCAGGGTGGGGACACCTGGCCCGGGAGGAGGAGAGGGCTGTGACCATTTTGACCCTCAGGTGTGGGCTGGAAGTGGACCTCCAGGTCAGCCAGGAGGGCAAAAAGCCATTTTGGCACTCTAAGCCCATTTTCTTTACAGTCACCTCAGTCCCACCAGCCTTGCTGCAGGCAGGGGTGTGCCCAGGGAGCAGACTGGTCCCACTGGTGAGCAGGAGGTCTCAGTGCATTGCAGGACTGGAGATGTACTCCACACAAGGGCTTCAGAGGCCACCAAGGCACCAGGTCCATGCAGAGGACATGTCCCTGGGTCTGTCCTCCCCAGGCCAGGCTGATTTTCCTTGCAGCTGTGACAATTCCCACCTCATGAGCTCAGGGTGAACCCACCTGAATAAGGGCTATGGTATCAAGTCCTGAATCCTGTTCCTGAGCTGTGAAAGCATCTCCTCTTCCCAGCTGTGTGCACTTTTGGGGGCTGGCAGCATTGCCCCCTGCTCTTCCTCCCACAGGCTGTTCCTGCTGCTGCTGTCAAGTAAAGGTCCATGTGTTGTGACATTCCCACTGTGTCCTGAGCACCCTCTGTCCTTCCCAAAGTGCAAATACAAACAAAATACACGTGTGGGAGCGTGGCAGGGAACAGCTTCCCTGTGTCTGAGCCCCAGGAGCTGCCTCTCTGAATTCGTGGCATTTTGAGCCGGTGCTTCCATGCCCTGATGTTGTTCCCCTGGGATTTGGGGTGTTCCTGCTGTGGGATCCTGCTGCAAGTCTGGGAGATGCCAGCGTTGGCTGGGTGAGCAGTGCTGCTGGCACGGGGCTCTGCATACAGAGCAGCAGAGCCATGTTTGGGGTGAGAAATGGAAGAGTTTGGATCTCTCAAGGATGAGGAAGTGATGCTAACTTGGGAATTCCATGCTGCTGCTCAGTGAGAAGCCCAGAGCCTCCCTGCTTTGCTCCTGGAGCTCGGGGTGTGAGGTGGGTGCAGCGGGGTCAGGCCAGGGCAGACGGGAGGTGACAGGGACATGGGGGGCTCAGGGCATTCCCAAGGTACTGTTTGGTGCTAACCCCTCCCAGCCAGCCCCTCCGTGCTCAGCTGGAGGGGAGCAGCCAGCAGGGAGCTGACAATGCCCTGTGCAGGGCAGAGGGTGCCATTGTCCCATTGCAGAGGCTGTGCTGGAGCTGAGGGCACAATTTGGGTGGGTGGGACACACAAACTCCTGCTGGCTCCTCTTCTGCCTCGCAGCCTAAAGCCTTACAGCCCCTCCTGTTTAACGTGGCCGAGTCTGTAAGGTGGCAAGGGCATCACCTGGGGTGAGCACAGCCCTGTCACAGGGACCAGGGTGCCTGTGTCCCCCAAAGGGACCCCCACCCTTTGCCTGCCCTGCCAAACCCCCCCACCCCCCGAGAGCTCTCCCTCTTGTGTTTACTGGTGTAAGAAACTTGTTAAAAAAAGAGATTGTTCTGTTTGTAAGTAATTATTCAGCCATTTGCCACAAATATATCTGTGAATAAGAAAGGGAAATGTTTTTTTATGATGGCGAGGAAATTGGATGTATTATTTTAGGTCGTCGCAGATCATTTGGAATTGCAATGGGATATGTTGGAAAATAATATGTAAATTCCTTGGGTGTTTCCTTTGCACTGCACTAACTGGGGTAGGGTGGAGGGAGTTTAAAGATAAAACTGTTTGTTTAATGGAATAGTTTATAGCTGGGAATTTGGAAATCATTTGGAATAGCTTGTAATGCTGGAATAGAAACTTTAGCTGCTACTTAGAAACCCTTTTGCATGTGGTTTTTCCAGGCCTTTTTTTAAGTTACAATTCATCAAAGTAAATTCCCCAACGGAAAAAAAAAAAAAAAAAACAAAAAAAAAACAAAAAAAACCCAAAACCCCAAAATAAAGTGTAATTTTGCTGATAGGTTTTTTTTCCAGCCATGGTTTTTAATGTGCCAGGGGTGTCAGGGTCGTTGTCACTAAAACCCCCTTGGCTGAACTGGGGCTCAGGGGTGGCTTGGCCCATCCAGGGAAAATGGCTGCTCCCAGGGATGGATCCTTCCCGATTCCTGGCATGAACAGTAAGTGCTTTTACCCCTCCAAAATTTGGAGTAGATCCCCCCTGTGGTGCCTGTCAGGCTCCTTCTCATTCCTGGAGCAGCTGCCACTCGTGCAGTTGTCCCATCCAGGAGCTTTCCTGTGACTCCTCTCCTTTTCTGAGCTGGACCCCTGCAGGGTGAAGGAAAGAGGCTGATTTTCCATGGCTTTTAGTCACTCCTGGATATCATATTCCAGAATCCCACCTGGCCCTGCAGGCAGCAGCGTGTTCCAGAGCAATAAATAAGCTGCAGAGCTTTTTATAAAAACCTGCGGTGTTCAAGAGGCCTCACCTTGAGCAGGGATGTGATGTCCCTGCGAGCTGCCATGTCATTTCATTAAGAACATTCATTTTTCCCACCCTTGGAGTCCCCAGTGCTTCACTTTTCCCAGGGTCAGCTGGAAGGGGTTGTAGCAGTGAGCAGAGGGGTTGTACTCAGACAATCAGGACTAAATTTTGGATGCTGGTTTTGGAAGGTGCTGCCCAGCCAGGTGTTAAGCCTTGGTCCAGGTGCTGACCTTGCCTGGGATAAGCCCTTTCCTCGTGGCTGTTTGGTCTGTTTTAGTGGTGAATCTCCCCAACACTGACCACTAAAATCCCAGGTTTAGGTGCCTGGTGCCTCCCCTGCTGCTGCTGAGCCCCAGCCTGGCCCTGGGTGGGTGGGATGGCACAGCTGGGCTGCCAAAAGCAGCACTGGAACCTGCAACCAAGAGCTGGGCAGTGTAAAAATCTGTTCCCATTCTGTCCTGCCTCTGGGGACATCCCTGCCAGCCCGGGGCTGGGGACACTGAGCCCTTGGGGAGTGGCTGGAGCTGGCAGGTGGGTGCCTCCACAGTGGCTTCATGCCAAAATCTTCTCCTGGGGGTTGCTGCAGTGCAGGGTCTGACACTCAGGAATGAATGGGGCATTGATGCAGCGTGCCCAGCCACGGCCAGGTGCAGTAACCAGAGCAGCAGCAGCGTTCCAGGGGCATTAACAGCAGAATAAATTCCAGCTAGCACAGCTGGTTCCATCCTGCACAGCCCCTGGCCTGTCCCAGGAGTGGGGGGACACACCAGGCATGGGGTTTTATTTATTATTCTGATTTTTTCCCCCCCCAGCTAGAGCAGCTGCTGATGAAATCCCCGCCATGAGCAGGGCTCTGAGCAAACACGGCCTGGGGGCTGCTGGCTGCCCCAGGAACTCCTGCTCCTGTCACAGTGTGACAGCCACCTGCTCTGGCCCTGGCACTGCCCCTCCAGCCCCCAGGCCACCAGCCAGAGCGTGGCCACCTCCCTGTGAGCTCACTCAGCCCAGCCCAGGGCACCCCAAAACCAGGGGCCAAACTGCTGTGCCACCAGGGTGGGGAAACTGAGGCAGGGGGAGAGCTCAGCACAGCCCTGCCCAGCAGCACTCCGTGGGATTGGGGTGCTTTTGGTTCAGGGTCAGGTGCTGGTGGTGCTTCCCAAGCCCCAACTGAGGTTGTGGGGCAGAGCTGAGCCCGCAGCTCCGCTGAGGATGAGGGTGGGGATGAGGACTGGGGTGGCAGAGGCAATGTTGACAGTGTGCAGCACGCCTGGCTGCCTCAGCCCTGCATTCACCACGTTTTCTGTGACCTAGAAAACTCCAGCTGGCGCCTGAGCCGCTGCGCTGCTTTATTTTAGAATTAACCTAAAAATTATAGGGGCAGATTGAACTGTGTAGGCTCCCTCTACACTGCACTGATCACCCCAAAAATTAACCCCCCTCATTCCTGCTCTGGAGTCACATCAGGGCTCCCAGGGGCCGCAGGAGCTGCCACTTTGCCCACTGTCCATCCTGAGCCTGGTGAAGGGCTCAGGCTGCTGAAGTGGACTTGGGCTTGTATTGTTCTAGGTCTGGTCTAACCCAAAGGTCATATTTATAAATTTGGACATGCTGATGAAATGGTTATGGCCTGTCAAACAGAAACACCCCACTGCAAACAGGAGTTTAGACTTGTTTGCAGCCCTGTGGTTGTTCTGAGGAATTTAGTCCGTGGAGAAGCCTGCAGGAACTGGGGCTCTCTCTGTAACACTGAGAAACCGGTTTTGTCCTTGGGAGAAGGAGGGGAAATGCTGCTGGAGAGAGGGGATAAAGCTGGAATAAGGGAACCCCTCAATTCCTGTTCAAACCCTTCCCAAGCTGGGGCAGTTTGGATGCACACTGGGTACCACAGGCTGGCCAGCAGGCAAGAGCAGAGGGATTGGGTGCTGAGGAGCAGAAAAGGGGCACTTCCACTTAAGCTGGATGCTTAAAATCCCCCATAAAACCATCCCATGGCTGCTCAGAGCTCTGCAGGGGTGGGAGATGCTGCCTGGGGGACCATGATGCTGCTGGGACCCCAATCCCTCCCAATCACCAGCCAAAGCCTGACTCTACCCCGACTTCTGCTTCTCTGAGATACCAGCACAAGGCCCTGCAGCAGGACTTCTGTGTCCTGCCCAAACAGGCCCTAATTCCAGGGCTGAAGGAACAACAAACTTTCAGGTTTACAGATCAAAATCAAACCCTTTTTTTCCTACCCAACTCCAATTTAATATATATATATATATTTTTTTTTTTTTTTGGTGTTGCCACCTTCACTTTGAGCTCTTGAGTCTGGCTCGGGAGTGGTGTAAATTAATTTTATCTCTGTTCTTTGACTGGAGCCACTGGGAACTGCAGCAGGGAGGTCAGATGGTGCCTTTCCTCACCGTGTTTGCTCTCTGGCATCCAGCTGACAGCTCCAGCCAGCCCGGGAGGCTGCGAGTCCCTCTGGCCCCAGCTGGGCTGTTTGTTCTCTGCTGGGCACCCAGCCGGGGAGAAAAGCAGCATTTTCCTCCCTGTTTTGAATTTCTCCGCTCTGCCAGACTTTTTGTCTTGCCTGGGAAGCAGCAGAGCCACGAGGAGGGAGACAAGGAGGTAAGTCCCTCTTTTCTGTTGGCTCAGGCTGGCTCTGCTCGCCTCCAAGTGCTGGTTAATATTTTTTGCAGTAGGGGCCAAGAGGACGGAAGAGGAGGAGGAGGAGGAGAGCATCAGAGGAAGGCAGGGGCCCCACCACATCCCGGCAGGGAAAGCCAGCCCGGAGAGAGCCTTGCTGGTGAGTGGTGCCTGGTGGGAATGTGCCGTGGGCTGTCACCAAGGGGGAGTCTGAAGCTTGGGGGACACTGGGGGGACAGCGGGTGCTCTGGTGGCCACGTGGCAGCAAGCAGGGGGTCCCAGAGGGGGGATCCCCAGGGAACACCTTGGTCATGGCCTGTGGCTTGTGTAGGGGGGTCTGTGTTGGCCCCACTGCACCCCAAAATCTTGTTCCAGCAGCAGATCCCCAGCCGTGTCCTCAGCCAGGAGCTGCGCAGGGGTTGCAGTGTCCACAGGCAGGACTTGTCCCCATTTCTCCCCCAGCAGCCACTGCCCCACCCTCTGATCCAGAGCAAACCTGGCACCTTCTCTGTGGCCAAACAGCTCCTGAATTCCAGTGGGGAGGAAA